ATGTACCATCACTGTACCAGTGTTCTTGTTGTGATAGATAAACGATATCATTATAGGACGCAAAAACGAGTGAACGAGTACCACCAAGTGACCCATCGTATAACAAAAATAACTCACTTTTTGTTGTTTTGCAATAAACGTCGGGTAATTGTTCAATCGATTGGAGTATTGGTGGACGAGTCTTACGACGTTGTTTTTGTAATGTATTTTTCATTATATGAATCGACGGTAAGTTAATAATCAAATCACTGGATTGAGACTGACGATTAGCAGCGTGGTATGCTTCTTCGACTACGGAAAGTAAATCCGTATATAAGAAAATTATACTTTTCTATGAAAGAAAGCTAATTAAAATAGAAGTTAATCAACGGGCAGTAAATCTGCGGACAGTAAATCGTGTAAACCATGGGATTGCTGTGCATATCATTATTAGATTTTTAGAAAGCCCACTAATCTATTTCAAGCTTTTGATTTCGTGTCATCATCAGGAAACCAAATGACCATTAAGAAAAAGCAACAATGCTTCTTACTGTCATTCTACAGAGGTAAAATTTATTCAGAAAACATATTATACACATATTTTCCAATATGTGTGAGAACAAACGTCATCAATCAAATCCACTGAATAAATTCTTAATCCACGTTAATAAAACGCCATGCATAATTAACACTCAGGCTTGAAATCTCACAAGACTCTTGTTTTAGTAGGATTATCATTGAATTTTACTGACGTCTTGAGCGAATTTCGAAAGGGACTTCCAGTGAAATACCGTATGTAAGATACATTTGTCCTTTTGTTTTGTCTTGTTTTGTCGAAACGCACAGTATAAAAAAACCACTACTATTGTGCGATCACACAGTTTTAATGTTCATATGATTGTTGATTGACAACTACTACGTTTTCATGTATTACTTATAACTCACATTAGAACAGAAACCTCAAGATTGAAAGACAAAAGGAAAGGTTCATAATAGAAAGAACATTCAAGATTATTCTATGACGTTAATCTCTGTGACATTCTGTATGATGAACGAATAAATGATAAGATTCCAGCATTCTGTTCTTTTCAAAGAAGAAAAGAGGATGCAATAAACAAACTGTTTTAATGAAAAGCCTCGAAAATCTTTTTCCTGTCTTTCTCTCATATTGTATAAAGTAATGAAGTGTGGTCTCACATACAATCTAAAAGAAATAAGTTAATTAATATAGAGAAAGTATTATTAATCAAACCGCTTTCAGCACTGCTGCTACAATCTCTGTTGTTTCTATTTGCGTGAGTAGTTCATATCTCTTCTTCTTATAGTTGAAAATAATTCTATACAAAACATTTTTAAGGATTACTAAAGTAAGTTTCGTAACATTTTTCCGATTTTGTCTCATAGAAATTTATAGACATACATTTATAGATTTTATCATTTATTATAGACACACATTTCAAAGGATTCGACGGTAAATACCATTTTTCTGACCATTCCTGAATCTTGACTAAATTATTATTTAATATCTGCGTACAAATTAATGGATCAGGGTGGTAATTTACTAAAATGAAGTCGTCAGAAAACAGCTTTACAGTACTTTCGATATTAGAAGGTAAACCATCAATATAAATAAGAAAAATGAAAGGTCCCAGGACAGAACCCTGAGGCACTCCTTTCGTTATAGATCGTTTAGTAGAGATACAGCTATCTAACACAGTTTGAATAGTTGCATCATTTAAATAATCTTCGATCCACTGTAATGCACGACCTCGAACTCCTTTTTTATATAATTTTAGTACAAGACATTAGTGATTCATATTATCAAACGCTTTTCTAAAATCTAAAAGCGCACAACGTACCACTTTATTTTCTATCATGCCTGAATTTGTTTTATTCACTACATCTAAGCGTAAATAAGTAGTACTATTCTTAAGGTAAAGGGATGGACACAATAGATGACCACCCTACGATACAAGACCTCCTCTGTTACAAGACCCCTCTCGAACTCATAACGCAAAAACCACGTTAGAAGACCGCCTTCTTTTATCGATTTTTTTGACCTAAAATATGTTGATTTTGGAGTTCAGTTAAACACTAATCTTTGCGTTCGTCTTTTTCCTCAGCTGTTTCTAGGTCAAATTCACCCGATCGGATCCTTTTAATTCCTATGATTTCCGGAAATCGGACGCCCGACCGGCTCTCTGCTCAATTACTTCGCGTTCCAATTTTTTTTTCATGGAGGATCCGGAGATCGGATCCGATATCCAGAATCAGGTGGATCCGTTAATTTCCGGTGCCCGGGATGCGCACTTTTTTTTTCTTTCTTTCCTGTGCGCATAATATATTCACAGTTTTGTTTCACGACATGGTGATAAAAGAGTGAAGTGTCCTTTACAAAATAAGACGGCATCTGACTTTCCACCACCTTTCACACTTTAAGAGCTTTTACCGCATTTACATATCTCGAGAAGGAACAGTGGAAAAGAAGAAAAGACCTTACCATTATGGGATGTCGCCCTAAGCGCCTATGCTAAAATCCGTGAGACGGTGGAGTAAACTTCGGATGGAGTAGTGATGTAACCCAGTTCGACCGAGGCGTGTTTTGAACCAAGGACGTTAGATCAGATATGTTAGTCTTTGGCCGCTTTCAAAAAAAAAAACATAACTCAGGCAAAAACCATTGTGTAGATCTGAAAGACATATAATTTCGTAAAGAATCTTTGTCCTACAGGACTAAATATTTAAAATAATTGTATCATGCTTAACTCAAAAACGAAAAGTTGTTGTAAAAAGAGGAGACTGCCCTTTGTAGTAGTAAATTCAATGATTTGCTATCTGTTTTAAAACGAGAACTTCTCAGAACAATATGAAAAATCGTAATAACCTTATTGCCTAAAGACATTTTTGTTCAAAATATCTATCACGTGCTTCTCATATATTCTAAGAACTGTTCTTAAACTCTAGTACAGGATATTGTAACTTCGCACTATCAGAATTTTTTCGTGCAACGGACCCAGCGTCCAGGTCACAAGTTCAGGTCATAGGTCCAGGTTCAGGTCAGGTCCAAGTCTAGGTCTATTTTTTTCAAGTGCAGGTACACAGGTCCAGGTTCAACTTTATAGGTCAGGACCAGACCCGAGGCAAAATTGTTCATTAGATCGAATAACAATAAGCCACCTTACAGTTAAACTTTCTAGTTTCTTCTACAAGTTTTGACCTTGACCCGCACAGGTCACCGGTCAAGGTGTAGGTATCCTGTCTCTGGTGTGTGACGTTCCCTATCTGGTGAGGTATTGGTTGCATGTTTTGATTGAGTTGTTATTTTGTAAACGGGAGTTTAACCATTAGAGTAGGCTAAATTAACGTTAATTATTATAATTAGTCAATACCCAAGCAGAAAAAAATATCGACTATCGGGTGATATAGCTAGCTAACACAATACATTACTATATATACCTAGCTAACTCAATATCATTGACCATATAGCCAGCTAGTCCACTATATTACTCGATATAGCGATGATCGGATTACTCACCTTTTTGTTTTGCAGCTACTGTACCTATATATGTAACACACTATGCCGGTCAATATGTTGACTTGATATAAATAAAAACTTCGTAAATTTTTGTGAAGTATACTAATTTTTGTGAAGTATACTTCACAAATTTACAAAGTTTTTATTTATATCAAGTCAACATATTGACCAATAATAGACCAATATATCGTGGAAGCAGTATGTCTGTATACAGATACAGACATCTCGGGATGTAATGTAGACAGCATCCGTCATGCTGTCAATACACGAGTCAATTTCATAGCTAGTGGCTTAGCCGCTTCAGAACTGTTCACAATATATCGGGCGATAATTGATCAATATATCGACTAAATAACTACTGTGATCAGCGTTTTTCGTCAATCCGATATATCGGGTACGATATCTAGTTGCTAGCTATCATATCCGATATAACTAGCTAACTCAATAAAAGTGGTAACGGATAGCTAGCTGCCACAAGTCGATATTACCGATATTATATTTTTACAGCTAGATATTCTCAACGGCGTCGTTTTACTTGGTTAACAGAATGGAAAGGACAAAATGTTTTACATACTTTCACTTAATAAATACGTTCCACATATTTCTGTGTCGATCTAGGAAAGAACCAACTTTTTATGGTGAACGAAGAATGAACAGAAAATTTTTTAATAATAACTCTACTTGCTCAATAGTTTAACAAGATTTTTTGAGTATTTTTTTTTTCTCAGCCAAATAATGTCAGCAAAGCGGAAAAGACCAGGACATATTGTATACTTCAAAGTGTTTCCTACAAGCTGGGCGACTTCGAGGAAATTCTAAATGAGGGGAGTCTTCCTCAAAACACTAAAAGCTGGTATCATCGATAAAACCATTTGGCTATATAAGATACAAAACACATTTTAATCGCAGAACTTAAGGATTTAAAACAGCAGCCCTAGTTAGAAAAACGGTTTTTCTTTCAAAAGATCTTTGGATTTTGGCACATGGTCAGATAGAGTCAAGTGTGCTCTGTAAAATGAGACTCGTACTATTTTACTAAGTATCATTACTTTTCGCATGATGTACACTGTTCATCTTGTCGTGAACTATTTGAAAGCGATATCAATTGTGGTGCATAAAGTTCTTTGTGACATTTTCCACTCTCAAAAATTAGTGTGAATTAAACAAAATATCGACTTTCAAACGGTCTCATCGACTCTGTTATTTACGTTTATTAAAAGTTTAAATAATACTTTTGGATTTAAAAGTTATCTCTCTTTCATTCAATTGTCATCAGAATGAGAATATTTTACTTTGATTCGATATTGAAGCGTTTTAACCCCTCTTCATGAGAAAATACTAGAGTAAAATGTTGTTTCCATTTCTTATTAGGTAAAAATTGTTTTATTTTCTGATCTAGAAATGTCTAATATTTCGTCACCAATGAATATTTATGAGCATGTGACACTGATTGTAGGTTGCTTTAATATAGTCACTGGTCTTGCCGGCAATATTTTTCTTATCCTAATTTTTTTACATTGTCAATTATATCGCTCCAATTCCACCACAATCTATCTAGTGTTTTCATCCATAGCCGACTGCATTCACTTGATTGTGACACTTTTATATTCCCATGTCGTTATGTATACAATAGCAACTATGTTCCCATACGCAAAGTGGATTTGTAAATGTATCGCTTACGTATTCGTCAGTTCTCGCATGATATCATTCACATTGATCATTTTGTCTGAATTCCATCGGTACAATTTGACACGAACAAAGCCTTTCTGCTGCCAGTTCTCACCCAGTATGAATATCTCGGTAACTTTGTCATACTGGGCGATTTCATTACTGCCATTGTTTATACTGTCAGATAAAGAAAAAATCTGTGCTGTGTTGAGCTCAAACTTTGCTGCTTTCACGTCCGTGCTTTTCCCGTTCTTGGGACTTGTCTTACTAATCGTTTTCAATTCTCTGACGATTCGAAATTCGAAAAGACTATATAGGCGATTAAACACCAAAAGACACTTTATAAACCGGCGTATCCAAAAAGCCAACAACGAATTGAGCAAAATGATGATTGTACAAATTGTACTCGTTCTTCTCGGAGCAATACCATTAGCCCTTCATCACCAACTATCCACGTTTAGTTCAACATATAAAAACGCGAACAACGATCTTTGCTACCGACAACACGAATACTGATACAACTGGCGTCCAGTAGTGATTTTTACATTTATCTGTGTATATCGTCGATATTTAGGCGAAAATGTTGCGCATTTATCAAGACTTTATGATGGATGAAAATATTGTATGTTATAAAATAAAATATACTGAAATTCATACTGTATTTCGGATCAGAAAAGATAAAGAGCGGAATTTTGCCCAAATCGAAAGTAAAAGACATGAGGGCATCTTTTCGTAGATAATAAACTTTAAATTATAGTTGCAGTTAGCGTTTTCCGAAGAAGTTCGGGCAACTACTTGTTTCTGCGTCTGTGACAATCTCTCTTTCAATTGGGTCAAATGGAAATATGTATGCATTATACATATAAGCATAAGTATGTATTGCTTTTGCTAAGAGTGAGTCTAATTGATCGTAAAATTTCTATCGATTGCTAATTAAAATGTTAAATTGAAATTCCATTTCCGGACCGTAACTAATAAATCAGTAAAACCATGTATAGTTCGAGCTTTTAATTTCCATCCTGATGTTGTTTCAGATGAGATGACACGATTATTATTTTTATTATATTTGTGAAATTTTGTTACAGTTTAACCATGATCTGTATCTACTGTATCACCTTTGTTTGTGATGAAGCTGTAACATGCAGTTCTTATAGTTTTATTTTCTTCAAGCGAATTTGAGAATTTTATGCTAACTCGGACAACACTACGCAAAGCTACTTTCCTTCAAAGTGGCTAGATGTGAAAAGAAAAGATAATTTATTCTTCATGAAGATTCAAGTTTACCTTCGGTATTCATTAACAATATATAATCATATTTATCATGATTTGATACTTTAATCAATTGTATATTAACACCACGTGTACATTGACCAGCGCTTAAACGTAAACTTTTCTCATCTATCCTTATCTATCCTGATCTATCTGGATGTATCGTTATCTGTCTTGATCTATCCTTATCTATTCTCATCTATCCTTATTTATCCTAAGAATCCTTTCTATTCATATCTGTTGAAATATCTTCTCCTGCATTTTTATCTTTACTCATTTATTTCTCCCTACTTTTGTAGACCAAAACAAAACATTCCTGTTATAGAACCGAAAGCAAATTTATGAATATTTCGTAGAGCAAGTAAAATAGAAGCAGGAATAAAAAAGACGGGAGAAAAGACACTAACAGCATAGGATAAATCTCATGTAAGAGCCTCAGCGATTTTTTTCTCCTTTTGGCTTGCGAGGGAAGGTATCCAAGCGTAACGCGGGTTGTCGAACGGGATATATTCTAGATCGTAGAGTGTGATGCGTTGACTACGGTAATAACTTTCTTTTTTCCCAATGGCGCTTTTTTGCAGAGTTATAACATTTTCTGTTTTCGACGCTACAACGATATACCTCTGAAAAATATATTTTGTCTCGGACACAATTAGACGTTTAGGCTCAATAATTTTATATTCTGATTTGGCATAGGCGAACGTCTATTATGATGCACAAATCCCAAAAGTTTAAGAGCGGGGAAAAGTACGCGGTCGCAGTAATTAAAATACACACCGTACCAGGCCAAAAGGGATGTGTCACTTGGCCAAATTGCACGGGGTGTTGGGGTCGCCCATCACAAAAGTACGGTTGACCGTCCTTCAACGGGTTACGACATAAAAAAGTACAGGATCGTAACTAACATGTTCTAACCGGAAAAGACGCTCCATATCACAACCAGTTCTGGTGTTGAAAAATGCGGGATCGTAACTGACCCGTTCGAGAACGGCCCATACCTGGATCTGTGGGAACAGGTACGAGAATGGCCCGTACTTGGGACCCGTTTAACCCCATCCCAAAAATGAAAAGAATTGCAGGTTTAGGATTCGAACCCACGAACGTATGCATAGTATAAACATAGAGTATACTTACATATTCGCCTTAACCCATTAAGCCAACCGGTATGTCATTGTGTTTCATAATTGCATCTGTCTAGGTGAAGAAACGCACCTAAGAACCCGTTCTGACACTAAAAAGACGGTCTGTATTCTATTATCCATAAAAAGGAGTCAGCAGAGTTGAATATTTCTGAATAACTCTTGAAGGACGAAGGTAGGGACCTGCGGTCTTCACCATTTCGTAAACAAGATCTGATTGCATCTTTTCATATATGGGGATTTTTAAATCTCGGGATTTTCAGGTGATGTACCTCACATTTTCTGGACGCATGTCCTACCGACTATTTAATCGAAATTATACTTGCACTTAAGTTTAAATATGACTCTTTGAAATCATTCTTTAAGATTTTTTCTAACATTTATAATTGCGGAGCAGAGTTTTCTCTTTGAAATGAGGTCTCTTCCAAATCTCTGCCACTTGTCGCTCAAGAACTGTAGAATTCTATAGATTGTTTAAAATGCAGGAACTCGGACATCCCTCTGATGCTCTGTTCTCTTATACAAGATCTCTTACTAATCCATGCAGAGAGTTTAGTGCATGCAAAGCACAAATCTAAACTTCCATCGATAAAACTAATTTTCGTTAGTATAGCACAATCAGTGAAAACTTCATTGAATCATTTTTACACGATTTTTCACAAACGATTATCAACCGTCTTATATCTTCTGTTGCTGTCAAAAGTATTGGGTAGGACAACCGAAACGACGGTTGCGGGTCTCGGGTTAGAAACGAACCGAAAATAACCGCGGTTCCGGTTATCGAAAACAACGAATTCTTGTTTCGCCCGTCCTTTTTGCACTGCATAAAGACCCAAGCGTCCCAAAAAAATCTAATATCGCCTGATTCACCTAGATTACTAGATTTTTACTCGATTGCAACTACTGTGTAACGACAATGGAAATCGAGTAATCGGACGATTACTAGATTTTTTCTAGTTGCAACTATCGATTTATCTCCCGATAATCGATCGATTTAGTTATTACTAGATGCACCTGCAGACGCATC